AATAATAATAATAAATCCACTGCTGTTTGTTCTTGATCCAGCACTAATCCGTGGCTCTTCCTGGGGGGAAGAGGCAGAGCAAATGGAAGTCTGGATGAGCCCTTACCCCATGACCAGAGACTTTGTTGACAAGATTGCAGACAGAATTCCCAAGTCAGCAATGCTGAACTCTCGAAATAACAGATATAGCAATAACAACAACAATAATACCTTTATTAAATTAATGTTCCGCCCCTCCTCCCATAGCAGGCCAGAGTTGGAAATGCTTTGTAAAAAACGGAAATCTGCCCCTATTCCCTTATGGGGCACACAAGAGCCCTTGTAGTGTCCTTTGCAGGTTTTCCGTCGGTCAGAGAAAAATAACAGAGGCCAACCAGAGAATATTGAGAAGCAAACCAGCTAGTAAGCCTGGTATTTATTGAACTGTTGCAACAGGGTGCTCCTCTCACACGCAGGAAAGGAGGAGGACCTCAAACAAAGGTGTGCCCGCCCTTATATAGACATTTTAAATTGCCTGCCCTGGAGTTCAAGACCACCCCAAAAAATATCATACATACAAACATCACACAACAGAAATCTGAGTGCACTGTTTATCTGCTGTCTGGCAGGTTACCTGTTTAATGGTCACTTGATTGGATTGCCTGGGGAGCCTGGCCAGTCTTTTGTAATGATAAATACTGTAGTTCCTGAGCCAGGTCACAGGCTCACACCCTATTCATATCTTAAATATGCCCTTAAGACAGGATTTGTGAGGAAAGAGGCAATGGGGAGGTTTCCCACTTTGACCTTGCAGAGAAATATTTGAGGTCAATTTGTTCAGGACTTTTTTCTGTGGAGTTTCAGACATATGGTTTATATATTTATGTACGTGTTTGCTTGGTACATTTATGAACATTTATTACATACCTAAGACCTTAAAATTATTGTAACAGCTTCAGCAATAAATAAAATAAAATACATAATTTCAAACATATTGTTACAAGCTACGCCAATCTTTGCAAGATTCCAAGGGTCTTGGCACTAAACCAGGGTTTGTGTTTGCTTCGGAAAAATAAGGCACAGTGCAGCAGAGACTGTAGTGTCTTTAAGATGCATGGTTTTATTTACATATACAGTGGTACCTCGGGTTACTGACGCTTCAGGTTACAGACTCCGCTAACGCAGAAATAGCACCTTGGGTTAAGAACTTTGCTTCAGGATGAGAACAGAAATCGTGCGGCAATAGCGGGATGCCCCATTAGCTAAAGTGGTGCCTCAGGTTAAGAACAGTTTCAGGTTAAGAACGGACCTCCGGAACAAATTAAGTTCTTAACCCGAGGTACCACTGTATATACACCTGAGCCTTGATAGGGGGAGTGCAGAATATTACACCTCAAGAGCAGAAGCCAGCCATGCTCTGGGTACAGCCTCTCCCATTCAGCCTGCATGCCTCACGTTTCTTTTTAGCCTTGCCAAAAACCTTCTGAAAATGACACTTTTTCCTGTGGCGACATCATACCCCCTGCAACCTCCCCCTCCCAACTCTTTCGTCTCTGCCCACTCCCAAGGCCAGGGGAAGGATAGTACTGTATTTGCCTTGTCAATCACCCTTAATGGTCCAGAACTCTGCTCTCTTTGTTTCTTAATGACACCTGTATCAGCTGATTTCCTGAACACAGAAAACCAGTATAGTCTGTATTTTTACACTGCTAATTTCAGCATCTGGCACCTTTCCTTAATACTCCAAATATTAGCTAAATTCTAACATTTACTACATTTAAGAGTTTGGGGGAATCTGCCCCACCTCACAAACTGATAACCTCACTTTTTGAAAGACACATCTGCTTCCGGATGTACTATTAACAAAAATACTTCTCCAATAGAAAAATAGCAGAATGTTAATAAAGACATTTCGTAAAGCGCAACTGCACATTTCTCCCAACCCAGCATGGTGCTGATTCCTTTTACTATTTCTATCTATTTCCATAGGGATCTTCCAGGCCTCTTCCTTCCTTCTGGGTACACACCCCAGTCACATCTGCATTTCAAAGACAACTTTTACACACAATGATTAAGCGATCAATTTTAATAAAATATTAGTAATTCACCAGTTCTGACCATGAGAAACATGTAAAAAAGTACAATTTAGCAGCGTCAGAATACCATTGCTAACTTGCAGGAAAGAACCCTGCAGGAAAAGCAAATAGCAAAACCCCTCACCCACTCCTCCAGGCCTGAGTGGTCCATTGGATTGGGGTTTCCACAGAGTTTTTCGTTCAAGTAGCTTAACACAGAATTCCTCTTTCATTGGATCTTGACACCGTTCACAGTGGAAGCAAATTAAGAAGCATATCCAAGCCCAAGCTGTGCCCAGTCCCTGTTGGAGGGAAACTTCTTCCAAACAGATTAATCCAGACCACCCCCCACCCCCACCCACCCTTGTCCTTGGAGGCCAGAAATTTCTCTGCCTACTCCCAACTTCTCTAGAACACTTCAGGGGGCCCAAACAGGGCCAGATTTAGGTTTGATGAGGCCCTAAGCTACTGAAGGTAATGGGGCCCTTTATATGTCCAGCTGTCCTTTATCAACAACAAATTGTCACTGTTTTTTGTGTTGAATATATGCTATATGGTAATTTATGGACCCAATAGGACCGTACGCAACAAAAAACTCTGGTGCTCTATATAGGTTTTATTTGTTTTTTATCTTATATTTCAGAAATGTACACCCAGTGTTTTCTTTTCCTTTAAATTTTTTGGGGACCCCCAAAATAGTGGGGCCCTAGCACGTCAAAGTGCAAGTAGATAAATAGGTACCGCTCCGGCGGGAAGGTAAACGGTGTTTCCGTGCGCTGCTCTGGTTCGCCAGAAGTGGCTTAGTCATGCTGGCCACATGACCCAGAAGCTGTACGCCAGCTTCCTCGGCCAGTAAAGCGAGATGAGCGCCGCAACCCCAGAGTCGGCCACGACTGGACCTAATGGTCAGGGAACCCTTTACCTTTAAGCTATAGCTTGTTTAGTGTATACGTAAATCCGGCACTGGGCCCAACCAAGGCAGGTAACTCTCCCAAGGACTCTTGCCCCCTTCTGCTCCTGGGAGGAGGTGGCTGCACCCAGCACTGGGGCCATTCTTCACCCCACAAGGCCATCTTGGGGCAAAATCACCGGCGGTTTTTATTTCAGCCAGCTCTGCAGGCACAAAAGCCTTGCTATGCTCCTGGATGTTCCCTCCTGTTAGGGAAAGCGCCAGCATGTTCCCAGGCACACCGGCATAGTTTCCTCTCCCATCATAGACAGAAGCTTTGCTTCCCTTTTTCCTGGCACACCCGCAGGCACTGATCCAGCAGTCTTCCGCTGCTCTTCCTTGCATGCTCGCATGCACCTCCAGCTTCCTGAGTGCAGGCAGCCTGTCCTTCTCCAATGAATCATAGAATCATAGAGTTGGAAGAGACCACAAGGGCCATCGAGTCCAACCCCCTGCCAAGCAGGAAACACCATCAGAGCACTCCCGACATATGGTTGTCAAGCCTCTGCTTAAAGACCTCCAAAGAAGGAGACTCCACCACACTCCTTGGCAGCAAATTCCACTGTCGAACAGCTCTTACTGTCAGGAAGTTCTTCCTAATGTTTAGGTGGAATCTTCTTTCTTGTAGTTTGGATCCATTGCTCCGTGTCCGCTTCTCTGGAGCAACAGAAAACAACCTTTCTCCCTCCTCTATGTGACATTCTTTTATATATTTGAACAATGTGTGGTCTTGTCCCTCTCGCCCTCAGCTGCAGACTGCTTCTCTTTGCAGGGATTCACTTTTCTCCCCTTCTCACACACCGCTTTCAGCAGCTTTATTTCCTGGAAGCTACATGCAGCCCTTTTTGTTAATAGATTAAACCACATCACAGGCCAACATCACCAATCACAGTATCATTTGAATGGCGAAGCCCATCAACTGGGGGGGGGACTGGCCCCCCTCAAATATTTTATGGGGGGGCAAAGGGTTCTCTGCCCCTAGGAGCTGTCTCCTATAATGGGGTTATAGTCAATCGTGTTCTACTCAAGGGTTGTTGTTGTTTAGTCGTGTCCGACTCTTCGTGACCCCATGCACCAGAGCACGCCAGGCATTCCTGTCTTCCACTGCCTCCCACAGTTTGGTCAAACTCATGCTGGTAGCTTCGAGAACACTGTCCAACCATCTTGTCCTCTGTCGTCCCCTTCTCCTTGTGTCCTCAATCTTTCCCAACATCAGGGTCTTTTCCGGGGAGTCTTCTCTTCTTATGAGGTGGCCAAAGTATTGGAGCCTAAGCTTCAGGATCTGTACTTCCAGTGAGCACTCAGGGCTGATTTCCTTAAGAATGGATAGGTTTGATCTTCTTGCAGTCCATGGGACTCTCCAGAGTCTCCTCCAGCACCATAATTCAAAAGCATCCATTCTTCGGCTATCAGCCTTCTTTATGGTCCAACTCTCACTTCCATACATCACTACTGGGCAAACCATAGCTTTAACGATACGGACCTTTGTTGGTAAGGTGATGTCTCTGCTTTTTAAGATGCTGTCTAGGTTTGTCATTGCTTTTCTCCCAAGAAACAGGCGTCTTTTTAATTTAGTGACTGCTGTCACCATCTGCAGTGATCATGGAACCCAAGTAAAATCTCTCACTGCCTCCATTTCTTCCTCTTCTATTTGCCAGGAGGTGATGGGACCAGTGGCCATGATCTTAGTTTTTTTGATGTTGAGTTTTGGACCATATTTTGTGCTCTCCTCTTTCACCTCAGGGGTAGACCCATCGAAACCCATACGCCTAAATTGCAGGGAATACCACCGATCGTTTCCTCATCGCCACACAAAGCGTGGGTTAAAACAAGAATCTCCTTGGGCTGGGGAGGGGGGAGGGACTTGGGACACCCTCCCTCTTCCAGCTCCAGCATGTGGTGTCTCAGGTGATGCTCGAAGCTGAGCGATCCCTGACTCGTTGCAGAATTCCCAACTGCAACCACTTGCGCGCGCGCGTGTGCCTGCGCTCTTCGCTCTGTGTGACTCACGAGATCTTTGCTGTGCCTTTAAAAGCCGCCCGGCTCATCCCTCCTTTTTGCCTTTAGGTGGCTGCTGCTGCTGCTGTTGTCTCCATTTATTTAGTCTCTCTCTCTCCGGTCGCAACGGCGCCTGCGCTCCCAGGGAAATAAATAAATAAGGCGGAGAGGCAGAGCTGAGCTCTCCTGCGCCCTGAGCCTCGCAGGTCTTTTGTCTGAAGCTGGAAACAGCAGCGGCTGCTCCGCGGATCCTCTCCTCCGCCAGCCAAGCCAGAAGGGAGCCTCTGCTTGGACCCCCCCACTTAAATCGCCTCCTTCTCCTGCGAGAGACAACAAAAAAGGGATTTCCCCCCCTCCGCAAGAATCCCAGAAGAAGAAGGAAAGAAGGAAGGGCATCCCCGGCGCGCATCTGGGCAGCTGTTTGTAGAAACAAAAAACTGGTTGGAAGAGGAAGGGGGGGCAGAGAGGGGGTGAAAAAACACAACAACAACTCTTAAGGTGGACTTGGTCTTAAGGTGGATGGTGGTCTTTTTGCTGGGTCTTTCTTTTTAAGGTGGATTTGACGTCAAGGTTGGAGAGGCTGGTGTGTTTTTTGGTGTGGATTTACGCGTCTTGCATCAGCTTGCGTTTTTGAGCTCCGGATGGCCGGAGATGGGTCGGTCTTCGTAGCCGGGCGGCCCAACGGGACGAGCTCTTCCTAGTGCTGGGGCTCATTCACAAGGTCTTTATTTTGGAGACTTGATACCTATTCTATCCGCACATTATATACGTGTTTTAAATATTGGTTTTAATTCTCTCCCCCCACCCCACTTTCCTGGCTGCGATAAAAATGGGGAAAGTTTGGTAGCCGGGACTCGAACTCCCTCCCCTCCCGTCCCTTCGTAACAATGACTAAATCCCGGCCTTTTTACAGAAAAAGACAGCCGATGGCCGAAGAAGAGGTGGGAGTCCAAAGCCAGAAATTTAACTGCCGAGAGCTGGACAGGAGAGAAGTTTTGCTTTTTCAAGTTTCTAGTTCCTCTTGATTGTCCTTGAAAGAGAGGGCTTCGGTGTCTTTCAAAACTTTATTATTATTTTTATTGTGTGTGCTTAGGGTCCCACCCCCGCTTTAACAAAGAGGGTTGGGGGGAGGCCTTCGACTCGCCTTCCCACCCCCACCCCCTTTTCAACTATACATATATTGTTGCTGTTGCTACCAAGCTCCTTCTCGCCATTCACAATTGAGGCCCAAACGTGGAAAGGCATGGAGACGGTTGGGAAATTTGAGTTCAGCAGGAAGGATTTGATCGGGCATGGAGCTTTCGCCGTCGTTTTCAAAGGGAGGCACAAAGAGGTAAATACAATGTTTATCCTTCTTTCCAAACTTTTTTTTAGTGGCTCTACTCATCTGTACTTGGGAGATAAGTAGCAGTTTAACACACACACACACACACACACACACAGCCCTCTCCCCCTCTCGGGGGTTTTATATTAAAACTATTTTGTTCCTTTTTGTAATATGTATGCCACACACACCTTCCCTACTGCTCTCTTAGGCAATACACGTATCTACATTTGGAAGAGCCTAAATAAACACACAGCTGAACTGGATCACTTTGCTTGCTCGTCCTGTGGGTCCAGGCAACACTCTGTTGTAATAAACAGGACTCTCGGCCATGCAAATCGGGTCAGGATGAGACCAGTTCTAAACTAGTCAACTCAGAAGACAGACTCACTTGACTTCAAGGGATGCACTTCCAAGAAAAGGAGCTTAGAAACTCCCAAGTTGTTGCTGTTGCCGTTGTTATTTTATTATTATAACAATTTGGATCTATTGCTACTATGCTGCAAGTTACCGTAACTTTTGCAGGGAGTTGATCAGCTTTAGGTTCGATGCAATTTATTCTCAACATGCCAAGAAGAAATCCGAGACTTTGGATAGGCAAAATGAAAACAGGCCTTATCGGCTTGGCAACCCTGCCTATCTAAAGCGGCCACAAGCTAACAAACACATTGCAGTACTGGAGGAACTATAAATACTCAGCTATGTGGCTCTGCAGCTTTGTATTTAAGGCACACTAGCCTGGTAGTCCATAGGCGACAGAATAACTGCATTCAGGCTGGAATCCAAACAGGGTGGCAGAGGAGGGAAGGCTCTCCCTCTGCGGACCGGTAACCTTGTCGGCTTTCTTTACCACGCCATTGTACTGTCTTGTTGAACAAGGGGGTGAAAGTTCCTGGGAAGCTGGAATGACTTCTGTAGCAGGGTTGCTGTCTGGCTTCCTTATCCCTAAAGATTAGCCCATGTCTCCAAAGTGTCCTTGGCATTGTTAAATATGTCTCCTACATCACTTAATGATTAAACAAAAGAAACACACAGTCCATGGGTGGGCACCTTTTTTCACATCATCCGTAAAGCTGGGGATCAACTTCTACAATCCAAATATTTGTATTGCTTAAATTAAGAGGATAATGGCAGCATAAAGAGCCATTTGAAATGAATATCTGTTCCCCCTCTTCCCCGGTGTCTGACAAATTCAAATTCAATAAAGGGCAAGCCTGGACATGTACTCTATATGGTTTGGGATAGTGAAGCAGAGTTTTCTGAACACTTCTCTTGTGGTTTGAAGCATATGGACTCATTAGAGAGACGCGCATGTGTGTTTCTGAGCATGTGAAAATAAAATGCGAGCTTCACCACCTCCAACTTACATTCTACATCTGTCTTTTTTATTATTATTAACTTTCAGAAACCTGAAGTGGAGGTAGCAATAAAATGCATCAACAAGAAAAACTTGGCAAAATCCCAGACTCTCTTGGGAAAGGAAATCAAAATACTCAAGGTAAGGGGGGGGGAAATGTTTTTGCTGCTACTGACATTTCGATTTAAGGCGACTGTTTGCGATTTTATAAATGCTTATACCACCATCTCCTCTCTCTTTCCTTCTAGGAACTGAAGCATGAAAATATCGTTGCCTTGTATGACTTCCAGGTATTAGTTTACTTCTATTTTGGAAGGATGTTGTAGGGAGGGGGAGGGGTTAAGGTGTGATACTTTAAAACTTTGCTGAGAGCTGTGGATTATTGGAGGTTTTGGAGAGTGACGGGAGAAAAGTCTGTACACTTTGTAAAAACTATATATAACCCGATAGGAGCAAGGGGACACACAGGCTTTTGAACTGGAACACTGTGCCAGTTTCCACCTTGCAGTCCTCTTGTTGTTTGGGTACGAATGGCCTTCAGTTGCTTTTATAGCCACAGGAGGAGGAGTTCCAGCTCTGAACCCTGGTTCTCCCTGTTGCTTATCTGAGCTTTGTTGCTGTCTGGTGTCATGTGGCCTCCAGACCTCCTTGTTTGTTGACATTCCTCCTGCGCTCTGGGATTGGTTGAGTCAGGGCTTTGCATCATCAGTGCAACTAAATTCCTGCCTGTGTGTTTGGCGCAAGCTGCGTGCAATGCTTTCTGGGAGCCGTAGTCTCTAGTTCTCGGCTTCTGTTTCCTTTCGGTTCTGGGCTTCTCGGGTGCAAGGACTCTTTTTCCCAGGGTACCTCTGCAGTCTCAAAAATAGGGGCTGGATGTTGCTGGGGGTGGGGTTATCTCAGGTCAAATAATCAGGAAGCAGATCGGTTTTGCACAAAGCAGCATGTTTTCCCCACCCCCAGTCTTTAATTCTCTCTTCTTCCCTCCCCCCTCCCGCCCTCCAGTTGCCCTAAGGAAATGCAGCAAGGCCTTTTCTCTTGCAGAATCAAAGGATAAATATTCTGATTTTGTTCCCTTGAAAACCTTGCAAAAGTCCTTGAGTCAACACCCTTGCTTTTGTTTCCTTGGTGTGGCAAAACACCATGTTATGCATGCAAATCCCAGAGGCCAGCTCCTGTTTGTAAAAATCTGCACATGAGCTACTTTTCTTTCTGCTTAGTGTTAAGGAAACCTCGGTCACCCAGCTGCAGTCCAGAATTTACACTTTGTAGTAAGACCCCGTTTATTAATAATAATAATAATAATAATAATAATTCATTTTTGATAGATGCACCCATGTGGATTAGGCAGATGGGATAGGTGGGAACATAGGAATGTGACTTATACAAGGGTCCATCCAGCCCAGTATCGTCAACACAGACTGGCAGCAGCTCTCTAGGGCGCTTCCTCAGCCTCAGCCCTCCAGCTGTTTTGGGACTATAATTCCCATCCCTGACCACTGGTCCTGCTAGCTAGGGAACATGGGAGTTGTAATAATAATAATAATAATAATAATAATAATAATAATAATTATTATTATTATTTATACCCCGCCCTCCCCAGCCAAGGCCGGGCTCAGGGCGGCTAACAAGCAATAATAAAAACAAGTTGAATGAATACAACTTACAAACAAGATTAAAATACAACAATTAAAATATTGAAACATTAAAATATTAAAATGCAGCCTTATCACAGGAGGAGAAAGGAAAAAGAAAGAGGGGGAGGGAATCAAATTGGCTCCAAGCCAAAGGCCAGGCGGAACAACTCTGTCTTACAGGCCCTGCGGAAAGAAATCAGATCCTGCAGGGCCCTGGTCTCATGAGGCAGAGCGTTCCACCAAGCCGGAGCCAGAGTTGAAAAGGCCCTGGCTCTGGTTGAAGTCAATCTAACTTCCTTAGGGCCTGGGCCACTAGGGTGTTGCTATTTATGGACCTTGAGGCTCTCCGTGGGGCAGACCGGGAGAGGCGGTCCCCGTAGGTACGAGGGTCCTAGGCCTTGTAGGATGGTCGAGGTTGAGGAAGCCTGCTCTAGGGTTTCAGGTGAAGTCTCTCCCAGCCCCACCTGGAGATGATGATGATGATGATTTATTCCTTATACCCCACCCATCTGACTGTGTTGCCCCATCCACTCAGGGTAGTTTCCAGAAACAGTACTTTGTGTGATGCATCAGTTTGGCTATTTGTGAGTTATCTACACCTGATGTGGGATGCTGCCAAAATCTGCCTCCAGGGGAGAACCTGACTAGCTCCTCAGTGCCTCCAGCATTTAATTTGAATCTTAATTGAGCCCCATTGGGTGGTGTTCAGTTACATTTTACTCAGACCAGAACCATTGAAATTAATGAACTACAGTTAGTCATGTTTGTTGATTTCAGTGGGCCTACTCTGTGAGTAGAGCTATCAGTGAATACAACCCAAAGCATCTTCCTGAGTTAATAAACATGTGTCTCTGGTAGGAATGGACACGTTGGTTCTTTCACACCAACAGTTAATCCCTGCATGTAGAAAATGAGCATGTCAGGGATGGTTCCAGCCCAGCTTATTTTTCTCCCTGTCATGTTAGTTCTCTAGTTTCGGGGATATCCTGTATCTTAACTGGCATGAAGGAGCATTCCATCATGCAAACTCTGGAGCGGCACAGCCAAGGCTCATGCTTTCGTCGGCAGGAACTAAGCCCAAGTCTGTAGACTTGGTTCAAGGACCTTGGAGGTGGACTACAGTTTCTGTATCTTACCCCACTGAGTCCTGCTTAGCTAGTATCTTTCCACACCAACTATGTTGTTTTACTAGATGAGGTGGGGGTCATATTTCTCTGTGTGCATCTGTGTGCATGAACGTCAAATCACAAGATGCATGGATCTGCAACAACATGAGTTTTCATTTTCGGGTGGGTCTTGGTGGCACTTGGGTTTGGATTCCTTGGAAGCCACAGTTTCGGAGGGCCTTTCACGTAGCAGGTGTTGTTATGTAATTCAAGTCTCTGGTCTTACAGCACACCAGCTTAACGTGGTAACGAATATTACTTCAGAATGCAATAAGTACTGTATTTTTCGCTCTATAAGACGCACCAGACCACAAGACACACCTAGTTTTTGGAGAAGGAAAACAAGAAAAAAAATATTCTGAATCTCACAAGCCAGAACAGCAAGAGGGATCGCTGCGCAGTGAAAGCAGCAACCCCTCTTGCTGTTCTGGCTTCTGGGATAGCTGCGCAGCCTGCATTCGCTCCATAAGACGCACACACATTTCCCCTTACTTTTCAGGAGGGGAAAAGTGAGTCTTATAGAGCAAAAAATACGGTATTTGTTTGTTTATTTGTTTGTTTCACAAGTTTTACAAGCTGCTTGATTGCAACAAAACCTCAAAGCTGGCTTGCAAAAAGAGCAGAGTAAGAAAATTATCAGTCAAAAACAGTTTAAATCCACCATTTTTAGTTCAAAAAATAATAATTAAAATCAACAGAAAGCTAAAAGCCAGACTAAAATACACGTTGACATTCCACATGTCTTCAGAGTCGCGTCCGAACAAAAATGTTCTAGCAGGTGCTGAGAAGAATACCGTGAAGGTGCCTGTTTGATTTCACTAGGCAGGGAGTTCCGAAGTGTAGCTTTGCTATGTATCGTCCTTTATAGAGGACAGTCCTTTATTTCAGGGGTGCAAAACCTTTTGGGGAGGGGCAAAGGGCCTTATGGACAAACTTACCAGGGCCAGAGGCAAAAAAGTAGGTGAAAGGATGGATACAGCTCTCGCCTTTGCACACCGGGCTGTATTTCAGTGATGGAAAAGCCAGAGGTCCCTTCATTCTACATTCAGGCAAGCAAAAGGCATTATCAGAATTCCAGTATATGTCCCAGCTAAGCCAGAGCACATGAGTGACCATGGGTAGGGTAGTCTTGGGAGCAGGTGAGGCCTTGGAGAAAGCCACAGAGGTGAGGCAGAAGGCCTGGAAAGGCCATGTTGGACCCTTGAGCAAGTAGTTCCCCATCTCTGCTCTATTTGCAGGGCTGCCTGGTCAACAAAAGCAGAAAGAGAAAGATTTAGAGCCCATGAATTTTGCTTCCATATTAATGAACAGAATTTTGAAGGGTCTTTGTGACCTGTTTTGGCTGGGCGAGATCTGCCAGACCTGCCTTTTATTTGTGGAAATGAATTTGTTTGTTTGTTTATTTTTAAAAAAAGGCTTTTATGGGTTGTGTTTTTTGTAGTTGGTTTCAGTGTTTCGGTTCGTGAGTTGCTTCGAGCCATTTTTTTAAAAAAATAAGTAAAGCAAGTAATAAATATTAAGAGTAATATTTTTGATATTGTGGTGAAACTTCACAAAGGCTTTAAAAAACATTATTTTCAACGTTTATATAGCACGATCAATGTGCATGGCTCTGTACAGAATTAAAGTGAAAGGGACTACCCTGAAGGGTGCAGAGTCTAAAAAATTAACAAGTGTTTGAATTCCATAATAATCCAGAACAGGATTAAGTGGGCTGTGTACACACCCACACCCACCCACACACCCCTGCCTTGAGCCTGAGGCCCTGCTGGACCTCTTTCTGACACACACACACACACACACAGGCAACATGTGAACCCTCCCACAAACCACACAAAGCCTGCATCAGTTGTGTTTTAGCATCTGAATGGGACCTTTCTGCTGTTGCTTCCTACTTGGGTCTTTCCAGAGCTGCTGCTGCTGAGCTATCAAATGGCTTTTGAGGGTTGCCTCTTAGCCAAGACTGCCTTGCAGCCATTGCCCAGTGAGGACAAACCAGTTTGAGGGAATCCTAATTCCTTTCCTGAAGCCAGATCTGCCAGGGTGCTAAATGTGTCACCGGGTCTCCGTTCTGCATCATAAAGCATCTGCCTGGGTGTGTCTATGTGACAAAACGTAAATCACTTTAATGGTTCTTGGCTTCCTTGTTGTTTGGAATTCCGGGAACTGTATCTCAGGAAGCTGATGGAATTATCCCTTTCGATTTCTCTTATAGTTTCCTGTGGTGTAGTCTTCTCTAGAGCGCTGCTTTTGAAATGCATAGGATTGCAAAATAACTTAGGTAGTCATGTCTATTAATCTCAGTGGGCCTACTTGGCCTCACATTTTATACGAACCTTGTGCTTTTATTGTTTTGTTGCTGCGTTGTGATTTTTAAACATAAAGCTGCAGTCCCTTGCACGTTGAACTTGAAAGTAAGTTGCATTATATTTGGTGAGGTTTGAATTGCAGCATTAAATCTGCCTCTGATACACAGAGCTCTTATGGAGA